TTCTGCTTCTCCTGTTCTCTACCTTGTATTATCAGATTTCTAACTGAAAATATATCTACTGATATGCTTGGGGTGTTTATGCGTTTATACGCAAGCATACGGATGTAAATGGAAAATCCATATATCCTGAGAGAGCCTATTACATCCTGAGAGAGCCTATGACATGCTGATAGAGCCCATGAGCAAAGAGGACCACTGCTTGCATTACTGACTGTGCATTCCCTTTTATAAGACCCTCAGAAATGCTAAGCCATTTCAACTGATAACATCATAACAATAATTATATTCTGAACTTTATAGCTGACAGAATTTCTCAACGAAATCCATTCACAGTGATGTTAAGGACAAGGCCAGCTTTTGCACATGTATTGCTGTATACAACTCAGTAAGTATAAAAGCTGGAATTGCCAGGTAGTAAAGCATAACAAATTTGCTGTCTTCATGGGCTATAACACAGATAAATCATATAAACAATTTTGTCCAGATACTGGATGTAAATCATGGCAGAGTTATTCTAGTTATTTTCAATGACAGGCATCAATCATCTCTTTTGATTGATACATGATCACAGACATGATGAGAGGGCGAAGCCTCTTCCTTTCAGGCTAAATGGAACAAGAAATTAAACACCTGTTTACAAAAGAGTAGTGAGGAACAACTGGAGGCTGCTGCCCAGTAAAATGGCTTTAATTACAAAGTATGAGCCAGGCTAAGCCCGGTGGTCTAAAAAAAAAAAAAACAACAGGTATTTATTTCAGTGATTTGAATAAAAAAAAAGGGACTACGGGATTTATGCAGCCATGGATGTATTCCTTGGGAAAAAACAAGGAGGCAGCTTTCTTCCCAGGCTCCCTTTCCACAGGCACAGAACAAACTGGAGGAAAACCTGGAACTAGTGAAGAAAATAACTCCCTGGTCTGGTTTCTGTCTTGGCAAGGCAACAGAGCTTTGTGTACATCGTTTGTGATATGTAGGCTTATAGCAATGAAATGTTTGTATTCTTGCAAAATTATCTGCATCACTTCTAATTTAGGAAGAAATTCTGAATCCTCTCAGCTGAGTACCAGAATCTTCTAAAATATTTGTCCCTTTGCCCTGTGCTGACTTTTCATCACTATACTGACCAAAAGCTTGAGACATGGCTAATGACCTCAGGGTTTCTGTAGATTGGAAGGTGTCCAGGCAAGACCTGATACATTTATATTCTTGAGCTGCCTTTAACATCTCAGTTTAAAAAGAAACTGCCTACAAGGAAAACAGTCCTTTGGGTTTGCTTTCCTAAGCACAGGTTGAATCCAGGGACTTTTATGGGATGAGTGAGGTTGAAAAAAGAATGTACAGTTAAAAAAGAATGCACAGTTAAAAAAGAATGCTTACTATGTAGTCGCAATTATTAATTATGCCTTTTTGCTAAATAAATCAATAATGTGCTTAAATCCTCTAGGAAAAGGGATCTGTCTGTATGCTTTTACATACAATTTCTTCTTATAGAAAGCAAGTCAGGATGTTCATGCCCCCGGTGAGATTCTGGGAAAGAGCATTCACTAGGCATCTGCATATCCAGCACCATCCCTGAGAACCGGTACCTGGAGTCACACCAGAGCGCAGCAGCAGGCACCAAGTAGTTGGTCGCCAGATCCCAAGTGTGAGCCTGCTGAAAAATCCTGCCTGGACCTTTGCTTATTGTCCAGAGGCTTGAAACAGCCCAAAACCCTCTAAGGGCAACCTGCTGCCTAACAGATAAGAAAAGACATGCAAAGGAGAGAGTTCTGAAAGGGAGATAAATATACTTAGGTTTGCAGACATACTCTAAAGCATAGCTTCTCCTCTAGTCTCGAGATACCAGGTGAAATTTTGAAGTTGAAATATTTGTCTGTGTATTCGGGGGGTTCTGTAGGATTTCTGCATCTGTTCCTTTTGTAGCTGGAGAATGTTCCCCCCACCTAGCAAATCCCACCACCCACATAAGCACATAATGTTGTTTGGCTCTAACTGGTACACCATCCGTACTGCTATATAACAACTAATGTTCAATGTGTGGCAATAACAACACCCCATCGTAAAGAGGATAGGAGAACAATTCATATCACTACCAGTCGCTAGCCAGTGGAGCAGAAGATGGAAATGCAGGGCATGCTTGCCAGAGGAATAAAGCTGAAAGAACAGTGATGACCCCAATGGAACCCTCAGTACCTATGGGATATGGAGTGATGAAGTCTCCTAAAGCTGACAGTGAGTAAAGAATAGTTGGACTTGCTCAGACCCAACATGCCTGCTCTGAAATCCATCTTCCATTTTTCAGTTTTCATGCGCTGTCTCTGTGTCATGCCACGGAGAAGCTGAAAGCTGCAATATAAATAACATGTCTGCTGGAGAAATATGTTTCTTGTTATATGCTTTATAAAGTAAAATTAAGTCAGCCACTGAAGTGATGCTCTGGACAGCACAGGTAACATCTACCAGATGAGCCCTGAATGCTTCGTTTACATTGCAGAGGATAAGAAGTAGGACTCAAATAAAACCAAATTACCCAAATAGGAAACTGAGCTGAAGAGGAACAATCTGAGTTCTAAAAATGGGATTATTTTCTTTTGTCTCACTTCCAGGACAATGCCAGGAGTGAAATATTGCATTTTCGCCAGCACACGATAGCAGTGTGCAATAGACTGCTGACTTCATTACAAGTTAAAAGAAGATTTCTTCTGCTTTTGGTATTCCCTTGCAGACAGTAATGTGAAGGGCAGTTATAATAGTGCAGAAATGAAAGAGCTTGTGATCTTGAGACCAATAGAGTGAATACTGGTTGGTTTACCCCCTCCAATTTCCCAACATTAATCCTGAATAGCTCTCAAGAACAAAGACAAGTTTCAGGTGTATCTCAACCACAATTTTTTTTTTCTTTTCATTTTTGTAAATTCTTTTTCCAATTTTGTGTGATTAGATATTGCCACTGGCCAGGAAACACTTAGGTTTCTCTTAGCTTATGTATAACAATTTGGTGTTATTTTTATAAAGGTGGCTCAAGCTCAGCTGATTGATATGCTGTTACTCCAAGAGCAACAAATATACCTTCTGTAATGTGTATTCTAGGAATAAATCTTGGAACTCAAATACACATTTCTAATTCACCATGTGTGAAATCAACTATGTTGAATTAGAGGGGAATGTTACTGGATGACTCTATTCAAAATGCAGAAGATAGATAAACTAACAAGCAAACATAAGGTGTTAGCACAGTGAGAGAATCTTTATTTATATGCAGCATTTAGCACCATTATAACATGAGTTCAGTTTCTACTGGCCATCTGTCATATCTGGTGTCAGCTTCACAAGCCTTGTGAACTTTGCCATTCCTGGTGTTAGACTTCAAAAGGCACTGCGCCCACCCACCACTATCGCACGGATCCACAGACCATATTGTGGCAGCATGAAACAAAGAGGGCTTTTGGCAAGAAGAGGCTGCCCCTGCATTTGAGGGCTTTTGGCCTTCCAAAGCAGCAGGCATTTTATTGGATTAATTGGACCGAAGTGACTACTGCCTGAAGAGGTAGCATCAAGTTGAGCCTCATACATTTTCTTGATAATCAGAATATTATTACTCAGGGTGATTTAGAGGAATAGTGGGAATTAAACCTGTGCTGCAAGATTGTACTCTCTTCAAATGAGGTTCGTAGCAAGACCAGGCAAAATGCATTAGATATTTTCAAAATAGCTTGTAGGGCAAAGAAGAAGCCAGAAGCTGTTAAAATATAGATGACAAAAACCTCTTTAGAAATCTGGAAAGCAAGGAAGGAAGGGACATTCATGAGCTGTATCCATGACTTTCATCAATGCAGGCTAGCACAGCTGATTGCAATAAATTTCAAAAGATCTTTATCAAGTATTAATTCTTTTTTTAATTCTCTGTAAGAACTATAGGGGCATGGTGATCCCTCTCAATTCCCCTCTTTGTATTCAGCTTACAAATTTACATATTTTTAAGGTCTGTTGATCTTGACATGCATATTTGTCACATTGGCACAGAGGTTGTTGCTGAGACTTGTTTCCATTGTCCCCTGAGACTATCCAGCAGCTCTGGGAAGAGGTTTGTTAACTTGTGTTCTCCCCACTCTCCTCACACTGGCTAAGGATGAACTGTTCTCACCTGTGTTGATCACTACGTGCATCTGTTGTTGGTACAGCTGAGCAGTACAACAGTATCTGCTGCAGGGTGCAAAACACAGATTTTCAAGTCCCTGTCTGCAAACTTTCTTGCTTTCTTGAAAACTCGTATTTTGGGCTAAAACCCCCAAGTGTATTTCAAATTTGACAACAAAAGAAGATAAAAATGGACAAGAAGCATCCCTTAGGTATGTGCAAATATAGATAGCACATAATAATTGTGGTATCATTTAGTAGTTCTCGGTTTTTTACAAGATTATAATAATTGTATTAGCTTAATCCTGTTATTTTGACATTTCATGTAAAATTACTGTATAGATCACCGCTTCCTTCGTAGTACTGGTGCCCTTCTCTTAGCTCTGATCTCCTTATTTTCAAGAATAAAATTTAGGTAGGCTTTGCAAACAGCACTGATGTATGCTACACTTTCTATCTCCCTTTAGTGTTCTTTCCTTTTACTGCCCTAGTGAACATAAGATATACCTTGTGAAATAAAAAGACTCATGGAATCCCTAAGAGATAACACATAGGAAATGTATAGTAGTTTGAGGAGATGCATGAAGCTGGAGGAAGCTTTTGTTTCAAGCTGTTTGAGGAGGCACATTCCTGAGAATGTTCTCTCTTCCCATTGGCAAATCTCCTATGAGAGTTGTGGTAAACTGGACACAGTCATTTCTCAAAATCTGCTCCATTAGCATAGATGTTGAGCTGGACCAGCCAATACAATTCTATTGTCTATGCCCAGAGTGATTGCCTACAAAGCTTCAAGCATGCCATCTTCTGGATTTCCCCACCTACACTGAATGCATATGAATTACAGGTTGGTTCCTGCACTACAGGTGGACTTGTGGCAGCCCAGCAGCCCCTTCCACATCGTTGAAGGTACTGTCACCGACGTGCGAATACCACAGAACACATCCCGAGAACTGCTGCCCTACCTCCAGCAAGCAAACATCCAGTACACGTAAGCCTGTGCTTTGTTTTCTGTGCCTTGCTCCAGAGATCTGGCCTCCAAGGCAGGTCTGCAACTACCATGCCAAGCGCACCTGAGAATACGTTCCACATCATAGCAATTAGACTGGCAGACTGCTGGACATTGCCAAGAAAACAACCACTTTAATGGGAGAGCAGAAAATCTCCCACAGGCAGGCAGTTTTAATTAAATGTCCTTCTTCTGAGTCAAGCTGAAGTGTTTTCAATGTATATGAAATCACATATGTTAAGAGAGGGGTGGTAATTACTAACCCTACAGCTTGCTTTGCCTCTCTCTGTATTTAACAGGAGCAAGGTTTGTTTACAAGTGTGCTGCTGCTAGAGCAGAGGCGAGCCTTCTTCATGAATTATAAAGGAATGTACTAGTTCTCTTAAAAATCTCCATTTCTCATAATCCAATGCAAGTCCTACAGAACAAATACACTCTAAGGATCACATATCATTTATACCATTTCTTAAAAGCTTTCATGACAGTTTTGGAGCATACTTATGATCTCATATTTATCAATATGATATACTAGACAAGAGTAATGATCTTGTCATTAAAGCCTTTTCAATGAAATGCCTAAGCATCTGAACAATCAACTGATGAGTTATTTGAATTCTCAAACATTTGCTGAATAAAGCTCTACGTGAGGCTATTTATACTTGTTTCTCAGTGAGGAAAGGATAGCACGAATCATATTGTATATTATATCTATTATCAGAATTCCATTTTTATTATGACAGTGGTCTCTTATTATTTCTTCATTCTAAAAACACAAAAACAGACATAAGGAAATTAATTATGCATGCCCAGTAGCTGAAGTTCAGAGGGAATTTCATGTGGGTGCAACACTGCTTTGGTTTTATTTGTGTTTAAAAATAAGATGGGAATTTCTGTAATTGTTTTCCTGTACTTATACAACAAGTGTCCCTTAACTGCTGTGCCCCAGCATTTGTGGTCACGTCTGCTGCTGTTCCTGCTCACAGTAATCACCTTTAATAAAATGACAGAAGGTGACTTTTATGTGTTACAAACACTCCCTGTACTTGAAGACCTTTATTTAAGTCGCAGAGCAGGTTGTGCAAGGGCAAAACCTGTGAGACCAAAGGGTCTCCGTAGTTTACCTGAAACAGAGTGCCACAAATCCATTTATTTTCCACAGGGAAAATGTCATCTCTGACATTTGCTGCACAAGATGTTGGTGCTTAGAAGGAAGCCGGGCAGCATCTTGTCAACTCCAAACTGTTTCTTTGGTCTCCTTCATCTCCCCACTGCCCATTTCAGACTCCTTGTACACTGGGTCCCAGCCACCAGGAGCAAAACCCCGCAAAGCCTCGGATGAGCATGTGCTTGTCCTGATAAGCCCCGTGGGATCTGTAACTCCACAAGAGCAGGGAGGATTTACCATGAGAGCAGCAATAGCTATAGTCAGGGAATGGCAGGAGAAGGGCTGCTGGGATGGCTGTGCCCAGCCATGTCCCCTGCACATCCAGGATGGGGACCACAGCCCTGAGCTGGAGTGCAGCTCCACAGCCAAGGGACTGAGGTGCTGGGCAAGGCTTCAGACAGCTCCTTTTCTTATGGCTTTTTTTTTCACGTGTTTAAAAAATGTATTTTTCACAAAATATTTGAAAATGAGTTAAATTGCTACATCGTTTGGGAGCTGGAAAAGGTGAGGCACACACCATGTAAAACTTCAGGCTGACACCTAAATTGTGTCGAATTTTCAAAGACAAGAGAGCATTAAGCAGCCCTAATAATGAACAAGGCAACCAGCTCTTGCCTATAAGACAGGCTTATCTGTCCCAGTGTTTGACTTCATGACAAGAAAATGGTCATGAAAACAAACGAGGCATCAGATAAGCTCTTACTCCACCAAGTTGCCTCAGTTGTAAGTTCTCTGGCAATTAAGCCACTTAGGTTATATTAGGACCTGAGTGACTTAAGAGCCTTTGTGTTATAAGCACAAACAGTACACAGTCATTTAAGAGTAAAGAAAGATTATTAAATCTCATTTGGAGTACAAGCACATAAACAATCAGGAGTTGTAAAATTAAATCTGTTACTGTAAAAGTGAACAAACAGAGCTTGATCCTGGTAGGTTCTTATATTAATCAGAATTAAGCAAAGCAGACAAGTATTCTTTTAACATATTGAACACTCTAATGACTTGAATACAACCACTGCTTTAGCCTAACCACAGGCTTAAATGCTTTACAGTCTTAGAATGTATAGCAAGTCAAGACTATAAGCCATTAGTTTGATTAATGAAACTGGTAGATGTAGATAATTCCTAATTATACAATTGCTTCACTAATACATTTGAAGATGGGTATAACCTTTACTTTGATATTGTATGTAGATAGACCTATTTGAGGCATCTGCTGCACAGCCGAGTTAGGGTTAGAGTTAACACAGTTTCTTTCCATCTTCTTTTCAGTCATTGCCGCTAATGCCTATAGAAGTTTAAAAGGTTGAATGTGACCATCGTTTCGAGGGAACGATGGTATGGTGATTGCACATTGCCATGCTTTAGGAGAAGGTGGCATACAAGGATGACTCGCAGTTTTACAGAGATGTCATTGTACAGTGATGTTGTTACTGATGTTTACTGTAGTGACAGGACAAGGGGTAACGGGTTAAAACTTAAACAGGGGAAGTTTAGATTGAATATAAGGAGGAAATTCTTTCCTGTTAGGCTGGTGAGGCACTGGAATGGGTTGCCCAAGGACATTGTGAATGCTCCATCCCTGGCAGTGTTCAAGACCAGGTCGGACGAGGCCTTGGGTGATATGGTTTAGTGTGAGTTGTCCCTGCCCGTGGCACGGAGGTTGGAACTAGATGATCTTAAGGTCCTTTCCAACCCTAACTATTCTATGATTCTATGTCAGTGACAATATTATCAGCTCCTGCCAATATATAATGGAAAAGATAGATGCTCCAACTTCTTCAGTATTATTCTTTATGGATGTTTTCTGTTTTATTGTATTTTTATCATAAAACTGGAAAGTTCTGAGCTTACACCACTGCTTCTGCATTTTGCTCTTAAGGCAAAGAGCCTCTCCCTTTTTATTGCAGGCAGATTTAATTTTCATTAGTATTGATACATGTTTTTCCTGAGTTATTTTAAAATAACTGGCAAGCAACTACTGCAGAGGAGATAACAAACCACACAAAAAAAACACACACAACAAGATTTTTTGTTGTTGTTTGTTGTGTTTCAGACAGAATAATAATACTGCCAAGTTCTTAATTTTTTTGTTGTGCCTCTACAACTTGTAGGTGTATGTAATGTTCCATGCCAGTACAATAACTCCCAAAAGAAATTATGTGCATGTTTTTCTAAGCCTAAAAAGATTTTTAAATGGTTTTGAAATCAGTTTTTGATGATCCATGATTACTTGGTATAACTGGATTGTAAAAGAATAGATCAAATGCTGCTCCATAAACAAATGAAAGCAGCTTCTCCTTTGCATTGGCTACATTATTTACATCTTTCTGTTTTATTCACTTAACAAGCTCATTGTGGTTTTTGAAGTCTTTGTTACATTTCAAAGCAGCTGGAGTATTTCTGTAGCAGCATGTATTAAAATAAGCCTGAAGCACTCTGTTGTCAAAATATAACAGATGAAGTAATGTCAGAATTGTTTAACTACTCCTATATTTCTTCTAAATGTGATTGTTGTTCTGCTTTAGCCTGTGTGTTCTACTAGCTTTTGAGTAATGCCATTGTCTTTTTTACCTAGAATTCTCATATCAGACTTACAAGAAGCAGTAGAAAACCAAACTGGACTGAGGTCACACAGGAATCGAAGGTCCCTCTCTGAGTATAATTATGAAGTGTATCACTCCCTGGAAGAAGTACGTAAAAATTCATATTGTTCCTCTTATCCACTACACTGTTGGTTTTAATAAGGCTAAGATTTCACTCTCTTCAAATTATGGTTACCTGTTCATCTTCAGAAGTGTTCTAAATGTTTATTCTTCAAAAATAAGCAACTTCATAAAAATATATGTATTTTTTGATATTTGTAATCAAGGGTTATATTTATATGTAGCTATCTTTGACAGCTTCTGAGTTTTTTTTTTTAAATTAGGCCTTTTACTCTGATGGAATAAGAGATTTCATTGAGTGATTAGTCCCACCAAGTCATTTAAGTAAGACATATGAGCAACTGCTAAAGTATTTGTACAAGAGGCCCAAAGACTTAAAAACACTTCAATACAGACTCATGTACAAGGGATACCGTCCTGTATGATAGCTGGGTAAATAATTTCTGTTGATTTCAGAGTGCTCACGTACACAGTTTCAGTCTGTACCAATACAAAGTCGCTAGGCAGAGCATGAAGGATGCTGCACCTCAAAGAGATCTGGTGCCTGTGAATCAAATATTGCAGGTAGTATTAAACTCTTTAGGTCAACCTTTTTGCCATTGTATTTCCTGGCAGGCAAACTCAGGGACCTTCTTCCTTCATTCCATTAATATTTACTGTGGGTGGCAGATCAGCCCCATCCCCCGCTTTTTTACAAACAGCTATTGCATTTCAACAATAAAATACCTCCAACAAAAAAAATGGAAAAAAAATAATACCTTGTGACTGAGGGCTGCATCCAACCTCTGGCAATAGAGCTATGGGAGTCCAGTAATGCTTCAAGTGTGAAAACAAAACCAAACTAAGACAAAAAGAAAAAATGACAGGAAAACCCCAAAACATTCAGAGGACTGAGAGCTGGCAGTAATAAATGTGTTACAGTTGCTTCCCATGAAATGCAAAGATTGAAGCAACGCTTTCAATTCTATATTTGCAGATCCAGGATTGGATGTATCACCTGAATAAAACTCATTCAGATCTTGTTCACATGTTCTCTATTGGAAAATCCTATGAAGGGAGACCACTGTTTGTACTCAAGGTAAAGATTGAACCGTTATTAACCAGACAAAAACCTGTAATCAGGGACAGACACTTTGTTACTTATGTTATAGCATGTACACTGGAGCCCCAGGTTAGCTGTGTTTCCTAAGAATGGGTTGCTAAGATCCAAGTATCTCTGTGAACATCATCTTTAAAGAACAAAAAGCTGGAAAACTAAAAGCTGAATCCTCTTTACTTGTATTGGATATGCATGGAGACAGATTACAGGACAAGTTCAATTAGCGGGATTTGGATTTAACAGAATTGGAAAGTTTTGTGATTATAGACAATTTGGAAAGCGTTATGCTGGAGGCAGACCCGAGAGGACTCTGGAGCCCTTCACAGCATGTGCTACATAGGTTTCCTCTTTAGCTACTGACAAGGCTGTGTGCTCTCAACTTACATTATTAGAACCACAAATAAGAGCATGTCAGCAAGTTACAAAACAAATAAAACCCTAAAAAACTATCAATGTACTTTGTTTCATCTGTTGTTGCAGAGTTGTGAAAATTTGATTCTGTATAAGGCTATTTCTGTAGCATCATTTTTCCTCACCCTGATCTACGCAGTATTTGAGGATATCATTTCTCATAAAAGAGGAAATGACAAATCTCACTTTTACTGTAATTTTTTCTTGCCACAGAGCATCTTCATGATGTTGGCATACGTGCCTGTCATGATCACGGCCATACCTTTGAAAACAATATATTTGTGTTCCTTTATATGAGGAAATCCAAAATGGTTTAGTGTTTCTAATATTCTATGAATTTCTTGTTATTGTGTTTCACTAATGACATGAGATTTATTGATATTTCTATGAATATTCACACTTGAAGTTAGGTAAAAGATCACGGCCCTACAAGAAAGCTGTCTGGATAGACTGTGGGATTCATGCAAGAGAGTGGATTGGCCCTGCCTTTTGCCAGTGGTTTGTGAAAGAAGTAAGTGTTAAATGATTTACAGTCATGCAATTCCCTTAGTTCAATAAACTTGTGGTTTTGCTATAACTGATCTAACGTATTATTGGTAAGGAAAATAAATAGCTATTGTATCACCTTTATTTTATTTTTTTTATTTGTAGAACACTTAAGTGCTTGATAAATGAAGCTGATAGCAACTGCCAGACACAGCTAGGCACAGGACAGAAATATGCCAGACTCATATTGGCAGACATATGAAGTAGAATTTTATTCCAAGACCTAAAAATGTGAAGACTGTGATTCTGGTAATGATCCAGGTAAATCAGTGCCACTGTGTACTGCTTCAGATCAGTTCAGCAATATCCTTGATTTAAGGATTTAGATCAAGACACTTCTCTTTTCTGCAATTCCATTGGAATTGGAAGGTAAAATCACAGAATCATACAAAATAATTGTAAAATTGTTAAGGCTGGAAAAGACCTTTAAGATCATTGAGTCCAACTGTTAACCTAGCACTGCCAAGTCCACCTCTAAACCATGTCCCTGAAGCCACATCTACACGTCTTTTAAATATCTCCAGGGATGGTGACTCAACCACTTCCCTGGGCAGCCTGTTCCAATGCTTGACAACCATTTTGGTGACACTTTTTTTCCTAATATCTAGTCAAAACTTTCCCTGGCACAGCTTCAGTCCGGTTCCTCTTACCCTACCATTTGTTGCTTGGGAAAAGAGACCAACACCCTCCTTGCAACAACCTCCTTTCATGTGGGTTGTAGAGAGTGACAAAGTCTCTCCCGATACTCCTTTTCTCCAGGATAAACAACCACAGATCCCTCAGCTACTCCTCATAGGACTTGCTCTCTAGGCCCTTCTCCAGCTTCACTGTCCTTCTCTGGACCTGCTCCAGCACCTCAATACTAATCCTGTAGTAAGGGGCCCAGAACTGAACACGGTATTTGAGGTGCAGCCTCAGCAGTACCGAGTACATAGGAACAGTCACTTCCCTGGCCCTGCTGGCCACACTATTGCTGATACAGCCCAGGATGCTGGTGGACATCTTGGCTACCTGGACACAAGCTGGCTCATGTTCAGCAGCCGTCAATCAACACCCCCAGGGCCTTTTCCACTGGGCAGCTTTCAGCCACTCTCCCCCAAGCTTGTAGCATTGTATGGGGATGCTTTGGCCCAAGTGCAGGACCTGGCACTGAGCCTTGTTGAACTTCATACAATTGGCCTCAGCCCATTGATCCAGCCTGTCCAGATCCCCCTGCAAAGCCTTCCTCCAGCAGATCAACAGCCCCAGCCAACTTGGGAGTTGCAAACTTGCTGAGGGTGTACTTGATCCCCTCATCCAGATCATCAGTAAAGATATTAAACAGATCCGGCCCGAGTACTGAGCCCTGGGGAACACCACTTGTGACCGGCTGCCAACTGGATTCGATTCTATTCACCACCATCCAGCGAGTTTTTTTTACCCAGCAAAGACTGCACCCATCTGAGGATGAGCAGTCAGTTTCTCCAGGAGAATGCTGTGGGAAATGGTGTCAAAGGCTTCACTGAAGCCTAGGTAGACAACATCCACAGCCTTTCCCTCATCCACTGAACAGGTCACTTAGTCATAGAAGGAGGTCAGGTTAGTCAAGCAGTACATTCCTTTCTTAAATGCATACTGACTGAGCGCGATAAACAGGTGTTTAACGTGCCACATTATGGCACTCAAGGTGATCAGCTTCATAACCTTCCCCAGCACCAAGGTCAGGCTGACAGGCTTTTGGTGCCTCAGATCCTGCTATCCTCTAGTCAACTGGGACCTCCCCAGTTAGCCAGGACTGCTGATGAATGACTGAAAGGAACTCAGTGAGCAATTCTGACAGCTCCCTCAGTACCCTTGGGTGGAGTCCACTCAACCCCATAGACTTACATGTGTCTAACTGATGTAGGGGGTCACTGGCCAATTCTCCTTGGACTATGGGGTCCTCAACCAGACCCCCATCTCTGTCTTCCAGCTCAGGGAGCTGGGTACCCCGAGAACAACTGGTCTTACTATTAAAGGCAAAGGCAAAGAAGGTATTAAGTACCTCAGCCTTTTCTTCATCCTTTGTCACTACTTTCCCCGCTGCATCCAGTAAAGGATGGAGAGTCTCCTTAGTCCTCCTTTTGTTGCTAATATTTTTATAGAAACAATTTTATTTTCTTTACTAGCAGTAGCCAGATTAATTTCTAGTTGAGCTTTGCCCCCTCTAATTTTCTCCCTTTGTAATCTCATGGCATCCTTGTAGTCCTAGTGAGTTGCCTGCCCCTTCTTCCAAAGGTCATAAACTTTTTTCCTGAGTTCTAGTCAAAGTCTCTGTTCAACCAGGTGATCTTCTTCCCAGCCTGGGGAAGAAGAGCAGCTTCTGAGCAGCTATCCTACCCAGGAGAACAGGCTGCAGTTAAGTAAGGAAGATGTTTGGCACAGACAGGCACTGGTGGGAAAGCCTTTCTGCTCAAATACATATTCCTTACTGAGGTTTTCCCATAAAGCACTACAATATGGCAGGAAGGTAAAAATCACAAGATTTCTCTGCAGACCTTATGGCAGAATATAGCCTGTCTATGTGCATATAAAAACCTTCTGGTTGTTATTTGAGATCCTTGAAGAGTAGCTTACTAGTGAGACTGTTTTGCTAACTATGTAAAAGCATTTTCCTAGATGAAAGAAAGTTTCTGAGAGTGCCTTGAGACTACAAGAATGTACCACCTTTGTGTGCCCATGCTGGTTGTGCATTGCCTTTATTCACAAATGACATACATTTTCTCCTTTCCTTAGAGCAATACATCAATCCAGCATTAAAGCAAAAAGCATTAGGATAAGAATACATTATGCTCACAGTCTCCATCACGATATTAAAAAGGACTGGGAGAGGAGGAGAGAGAAGAACATTAGATTGGTTTAGTATATTGCTTTTCTCATTAAATGAATTAGGCATTTTCAGCAAGAACTCTGGAAAAACTGAAAGCTGAAGGCCTCTCCGTGCTTCCAACTCTGCAATTCTCTTTGGCTGGCAAACTCCTCCCTTAAGCACCTCTGCAGCCCAGCAGCACACTTTCCATCCCCCCGGCACTTATGGGCAGTTCTGAGAAAGAGCAGTCAGCTTGGAAACAGATTTTTCCTGGCATGTTTGTTGACTCTAAGGAATAGCCCCACAAGCCTATTGATTTAAGGCAAGCAAAAGGAAATGCTGGATTTATGTGATGTTAGATTCTTTTCTGGCAGGAACAGCATACATGCACCCCTTCACCATGCAGGCAGCCTGAAACATTTTATTGAGCTTTCACTTCACCCTGTGATCTCTGTCACTTGTTTTCATTGAAGTATCCATATCCCTGTATCACGAGGCTTTTCAAGTTATTTAGCTTAGAAAACAATCTCTGTGTATGAATGTCACTTAATATTCAGGCTCAAGACTGTGTGCTGCAAACTTGACCAGCTATTCCCATTGAGCTTGGGAAACGTCAGTGTCTTGCTTGCACCTCTGGAAGTGGCAGCTTCTGAGTGCCAATGAATTTGCTGCAGGCAATGGAAGACAGCATCTCCAGTAGGGTGGAGGTGCCACTGAGCAGCTGGCTGCTAAGTATGGCTTAGCAGTGTATAGGCAGCAGCTCCCCACTTTTACAAAGCATCTGAAGTTGTTCAGCTGGACAGGACCCAAATCTATCTAGAAATGCAAAGTAAACTAGGGTAGAGCAGACTTGGGAAGTGAGGATGTGAGGTTAGAGTGTGGAAAGCCAGGAAGGCAAGAGGCTTCCTGCTATGCAGGCTTGTTCTGTACGCAGGCAAATACAATAGTTAAAGAAAAAGAACAGATGAACTAGAGAAAAAAGGAGAAAGATCTAAAAGTTGAAGATTCAAAAGAGAAAGAGAATGCACAGGAAAGAGTTTTGCATTATGTAATAATATAATTGAAAGTACAAACCCAGCCTACTTGCATTTTGAAACAAACAAAAGGAAAGTGAAGACTGTTTGGTTTGTGGAGTTGGGATTTTTTTTTTCTTTTTTGTGTGGGTTTTTTTTTTATTCTAATCTATCCTAGCATAAGTTACATATTTGGCTCTGTATTCCATAGGTCTGGTGTTAATAACATCACTGTTTGTTTCTGTAGAAGGTGCCCCAAATGTCTGTAGCCTCTCAGCTAAAGATAATCAGATGTTCTACCAGGGTTAGCAATACTGGTGGCCTCTGACAAACCTTACCTTATGGTTATTGAATTTCAAGTCAAGAAAGAGGACACGCTGCATGCACAGTATCAGACCTTTAGGTACCAGCTAATGAGCCAGAAAGAGGTGTCCATGTGTGTATTGTAGTAGAATACCAGTCATGTTACAGTAGACTCCCCTTCAACTTCAATCCTTACTCAGATTGAAAAGGGTGCAAAAAAGACCCTGAGAGTGGAAATATTAAGAGAACTGGAGTAGGTGGGGTAGGGAAGCAAGAGGAACAGTAAAAAGCAATGGAACAGATTATATTTGGATTACTTTGAAGGCAACCTGCAAAGATAAAAGGATCAAATGTAACCCTGAATTTGCATACAAAGGAAAAGATTTTGGGGAGGGGGAAGGCAAAAAGAATTAAATCATACATTAAATGTCTTACTAAATATTACAAACTGAAAAGAATGGAACTATTTTATGTGTTATTACTATGTAGAAAGCAGGAGACCTCAGAAACAAAATTTGTGTATCAAACATGTTTTTATCCCAAATTAAATAGCCCTCAGAAACAAAGAAGCAAACCCTATACACTTTTTGTAAAAGTACAATTATATGTGTATAAGTGTTAAATAACAACATTAACTCCTCTTCACTGGGTTTGCGTTGTGAGAGGAGAAGCAGAATCCAGATACCAAATTATCCAGACCTCAAATTCAGGATTTACCATTGTTTTAAAAATCTGAAATATGGTTCACAGGCAGCTATTCAAATTAACATCACAACTAGATTGTGTTTCAGTTTTAGTGGAAGCAGATGAGGATTCCCATTA